CATGATAAAATAATATAGCGGCCCAAGCCCGGTTTTTCCCCACGGAAGATATCGGCCTACGCTGGAGCGCCTGCCTCTGCTTGCAGAGCAGAAACGCTACCTCGTTAACATGGGGAACAACGACAGCCAATCCAGCCCACAGAAAAAAACAGGCACCTCGTTCACATGGCGACAACGGCACTCAGACCGAAAAAGACAAGAACGACTAGATTCCGTCCATCCCAACCAAACCTTACGACGCAAGACGGGAGTTCCGCGACTTCTCATCTCCACCACAGAAGTGCTCATTTTGCAGAAGCAGCAGCAGCAGCAGCAGCAGCTAGGCCTTCTATCTCTATCGCCATCAACCACAACAACACGCCTTCGCGCGAAACAGTCGAATTCCCTCCCTCCCTCCCTCCCTCCCTCCCGCACCAGGCCATAATTTTATCAAAACCATCAGAATACTTGTGTAAACATTGGCGGTTTGGTCGCAAAAGTCCAGTCGAGCAACTAAACACCAAACGCAACATCAATAAAGAGTCGGACGATCCATGCCCAGCCGACCGACAACAGCCCCCCTAGATCAGCTAGCGGCGTTTGGACAAGCCCCATCTATTCGAAGAGGTGCCACCGCTGCCATAGGATAACTCGGAATGCCTGGGGTATCGGGAATCACTACAAGAGGGCGAACGCATCGAGAGAGCAGTTCAAGACAAGCGTGGAAGGGGAGGGGTGTGTGAAAAATAAACTTTTCGTATGGGTGTAGTAGCGTTGGAGTGCTCATTTTTTACATCGCGTTTTACACGGAGCACCAGACGAACTACAACCAACTAAGCTACTCATCTGACACGTCAACAACAACGATCACCAAAACCAAAAAAACGGCATGGCCACCACAACAACGGACGCAGTCTCTCCCCGATCCACACCGCAACCACTCCGACAAGCAGAAACAACAGCAATTGATGCAACAACAAGCGCGCTTACCCGTATGCAGAGGAGAAGCTGCCGGCACCAACACTGCTCTCGGCACTGTCAGACGACGGTTGAACGCGCCTATGATGCTGTTGCTGCTGCTGCCTCTGCTGTTGGTCATATTCGCCGCTCGAGGCTCCTTCCGGGCTAGCCCTTTTCCCCAGAAGATCGGAACAAACGGTACGTAGCACAGATGGACACGGAGCGAGATAATCACACAAAGCGGTAGCGCATAGAAGTCATCCCTGTTCAAGGCCGGTCGCCTTCGTAAAAGTGCCGTGCTGTGCGGGCCAATACACGAGACCGCGCGGAGAAAATACCATTTTACAGCATGTTCATGCTACTTCGGACACCGAAACGAAACCGATCGGGAGACCACAGTCTGATATTTTTCTTTCCTTTCGTGCCGCCAACACGCCTGTTGACGTCTCTGGTCGAAGAGACAGTACACCATGGTCAGCGCCGCAAAAAAACAGCAAAGCGTGATCGCTGGTGAAAGACGCGATTGGGGAACATGGACTTCAGACATGTACATAGATCGGTTCCGGGCAAGAGAAAAGGGCGAAAAAAAAAAAAACAGACGCCGCTGGTGACAGACGGAATTGCCATACGGACTCGCCACATTAATGTCGAGTGAAATGTGTTGCTGCCAGATATTAGTGCTACTACTGCTGTGGGAATAGCCCTGGTGTGGCTAACGTCAGTCAACGGTCTCTGCGACGGCGGGAACCGCTCTCAAACACATACCACACAGGAACGTCGATACAAAAAAGCTGACCGTGTCGACGTCACACACTAGGGGGCAGCAACGTGCAACCGTCTCGATCGGAAAAAGAAACTCGCAGCAGCAGCCACCAACGATCAAACCATCAAAACAATCTCTTCCCCCCTCTCATCACTCCTGAACTGTACCTGCGAGGCCCCCACCTGTCAAACGAACCCTCGCTCTCCGAGACGGAGACAGGGAAGACCTTCTCGCGTCTCGGGACATCGACGACGTGCCCCAGCACCACGCGACCGCGCGACCCGCCCGCCGCCCCGCCCCCCCGTCTCCTGGGCGGGGGCTGCCTCCGCGAGGCCCCCGCCGCCACCGGCGCTTGTTGCCGGTGAGAGCCCGGTGTCAGGGACCAAGCCCCCGCGTCGTCGGCGCTGCTCTCCCCGCCGCCGCCGCCGCCGCCGCCACTGCCGCCGCTGTTGTTTTCGCTCCCAGACCTCACTTCTTCGTAGCCGCCGCTGCCGACCGCTGCCGCCGCTGCCGCCCCGGCTTGCCTTCCTCCAGTGGCGGGGGCCACGGCGCCCGCCTCGACCAGCGCCGCCGGCTCCCTGCCACTCCACGTCGGGCAAAGGGGTCATGTCTTCGTGGGCCGGGGCCGCCATCCTGGTTTGCGCCTGCTGCCGCCGCCCCGGGGAGGCAGCGGGGCGAGGCGGAGAGCCTTCCTCCAGCATCGCCATGTTTTCGAGGTCTCTTCTCGTCGTCGCCGTCGTTAGTTTCGCCGGCGGTAATGGTGGTAAGGGTTGTTGTTGTCGTCGCGGGTTAAAGGTCACCGTTTTCCCGTGTCCACCCGAAACGAACGAACGATCGAGCGAAGAGGGATCAGCAGCGGCGGAGGCGGGAAACAAGCAGGGCAAGCAAAAACGGAGGGAAGGGGAGAGAAGGAGGAGCAATCAGAGGAACGCGCTGAGATTGCTGCGAGACGAGGACGATAGACGCAAAAATTACAACAAACGAAACATGACTAGCGAAAAAATGGCCCAAAAATCAGTTTGTGTCATTCCAGCCATGGGTTCCGATGCATGTGTTCGTGTGCCACGTGGCCAACGACCATTGGCCTCTCGCTTTCGTCACTGCTGCCGTGCGCGTTGCTGTACCAAACGCGCGACACCGGTGCTTCTTGACCGAGAAGCCATGACGGACCAAAGCACCACCTTGACGAGGGCCTAGAGAGTCGCCCGGAATATTTCTCCTCCATAACCCTGGACGAACTTCGAAGTCTCCGCTGGTTGCCGCCGCCGCCGCCGACTACAACCCCTCCACCTATCCAACCCCGACCACTCTCGCCGTCAATGAGGCTCTCCTCGTCAAAAGCGAGGCGTCGCGGGCCGGTCGCTACTACTACCCTGGAGCCAAGCGCCGCCGAAGCAGCCTTCACTTGCCGCCTCGTGAGCACAGACTCCAGCTGGGTGTCTCTATCTTCGCGGCGGAGGCCGCCGCCCCCGTCGCTGCTGCTGCTGCTGCTGCTGCTGCTGCTGCTACTGCTGCGGTCTCGGCTCGAGTAGTTTGGTTGTGGGCGTTGGGGGGGGTGAGGCAACGGCAGCCACAACCGCGACCATCTGGAGCGAAGCGTGACGTCACCGCCACCGCTACCGCCGCCGCCGTCGCTGCCGTGCACAGCACAAGTGCTGCTGACGTCGTCGCTAGCCCCAGCGCCATCGCTAGCAGCAGCAGCAGCAGCAGCAGCAGCAGCAGCAGCGACAGCGACAGCGGTCTGTCGGAAAGAGACGCCTGGTATCGCTGCCGCTGCTGTTGTGGCTGCTGCCGCTGCCGCTGCCGCCGCCGCCGCCGCCGCCGCAGAGGTGCAGGGGCCATCCTCTTTGGACGCGTTGTTGGCACAGCCGATGCTGCCGCTCTCGCTACATTCGCGCATAAACGCCCCAGAGCGCGCAGAGACGTCTAGGTGACTCTTACTGTCGGCATGGTCGCTGCTGCCGCTCTCGCTACAGTGGTCGCACAAAAATGTCCTTGTTTGCCCAGGGACGCGGGCGTCATCGTCCGCGGCGGCGTTTTGATTGAAGACCGCGGTTCGTTGCCGATTGCGTGAAAAAGAACAGAAAGCCCCAGATTTGTGGAAAAGGGGTGCCACGCAGATTATAACCGTGGGGGTGTGGTGATACCATGTGTTCGATTTCGGAACCGGGAGGAAGGGGTGGTGGGTGCAGGGATACGGATACGAATACGCATACGTGGCGGCCGCGGGATTGACGGGCGTCGTGCGGTGTTGCGTTAAGCGGGGGGAGATGCGTTGCAACGCAATGGAACACGCGTTCCGTGGATGGGGAGGGGGGAAAGCAGAGGACGGTTTTTACCGTGTGATGTACGTTTAGTCATGAATGCGGCGAACGCCATGGAGAACGCATTGCGGATACCGAGATACGGATGCGGATACGTTGCGCAGCGGCGGCCGCGGGATTACACCGTGCCGTGTTGTATTCCGTGCATGGGGGGAAGAAGACGGTTTTTACCGTGTGACGTGTGTTTAGTCACAAATGCGGCGTACGCGATGGAGAATGCGTTCCGAATACGGGGAAAATGAGGACGGAGACACGGATGCGGATACGTTGCGTAGCGGCGGTGATATTACACCGTGTGGTGTTGTATTCCGTGAAAAAAACATGGTGGAACCCAATGGAACACGTGTTCCGTGGATGGGGATGGGGGGACGGAGTTGTGGTGAGTCGATACGTTCACGTGTGAGTATGCCGGGAGGGGGGTGTGGGGAGGACAGTAAAGGAGGGCGTTTCGGCAAGGTTGGGGACAGAGTCGGAATGGCCGACCGAATCAAAGGGAAAGACGGCGGGAGGGAGGGAATAAAAAAAAATTGTGAGTGGGGGGTCCGTCACTCAAATACTTGTTTCTTGCGAACGTATGCATAGTATCTGTGTTCTCAACCACAAGCTGGGTCGTCTGTGTTGCGAAATGAGGGTTCCGAATCGGCAAAAGTCCCGGGATCCGCCCCCTCACGCCTTTCACGTCAAAGACAAAACGATAACCGTGAAGCCCTCAACCTGGTAACAAAAGCCACAAGAGCACTGCAAGAAAAGAATCCACACGACATGTCGCACGACAAGAGCCTTCGAAAGCAGAGCACAGCAAAGATCAGCAATAGCAAGACATATACTAAACAGCAGTACAACAAAAAGAAAATGTCTCATCCACGCGAAAAAAAAATATGACGACATTTAGTTCCATATTTAAAATCGGTACCACATTCAACAACGAAATCACGGCTCACCCCGTCTCCACGTCGCCGCTTCCCCCACGGCCGTGCTTGACGATTGGAAACTTGCTCGTCCGGACCGGTTTTCTCCCGATGATCCCCTCAGCAGCTTCGGGGTCTCGTTTCTCCTCTTCCTTTATGCCTGGTATCGGACAAAGTAAGGGCATGGGGGGTGGGTTAGGGGGGACAACAGGACGAGGGGCTTTGAGAGGGGCCCCGTAGAAGGAAGGAGAGGGGGAGGGCATCGGCACAACAATTAATTACCAACATGCCACAACCGCCACCACCACCACAAAAAAAAAAATGCAACCAACGACACTCTTATTGATCACCGCCAGTCTGTAATCCACTCACCGGGCAGGCGGTCCGACACGGCCAGCGTAAACGACGACCGCGGTTTTCGCCTAGGGCCGTGCACAGACTCCTTCACACAGCCTGTAATTACCAGCGCAAGGACGGGGGGGGCGGGGGGTATGATCATGCATGCCGTCGCCAAGACCTGGTATCTTCACATCACCGGACGGGGGGGTGTGCGTGTACCGCTTCCCTGCCTTTGAAACGAGGACATCGGCCACGAACTTCTTCTCTTCTCTGGAGACTGAAAACAGAGCAGCAGCGCCTGGACGGGGGGGGGGGGGCTATGAGAGTCCCCCTCGCCCTCTTAACCTTAGCCAAAGTCTCAATTGCGTGTTCAACGCGGCCTTTCGCCAAGGATGAACGAAAGAAAAAAAGAAAAAAAATGCTACGCATCTCGCTCGCCGTCTCCATAGGGCTCTTTTTTTAATTTTCACGGTATTAGGTCGGGTTACATACCAGAGAAGGCCCCCCCCCCCCCCCATGCCAAGGTCCGTTGACCCGACCTACGGTGCCGCCGAGTACATATCGGGCAGTGCGGTGCGCAGTGGAACGGCCCACACAAAGCAAGCCAGCAGCGGGGCGCAGAAAACAAAACGCAACAACAAAACTTTCTCATCTCCCCTCACCAATGAAGTTCTCCCTCACTAGGACGCAGAAGATGCCGCACGACTCGCCCCAGCTGCCCTTGATGTCGCTTTTCTGTTACATACACCGGTCGAATTAATAATTCATACAGCACGCCGAAGGTCTCGCCACGGTTGTTGGTTTCTACGTTCTTTCTGGCTCTCAAATGATCGCAACCAAACGGCGACAGAGGCCGGTTCGATTCCGCTCCCTCGTTCTACAAACAGGAATCTCCCTACAGCGCCAACAATGAATACCGGCCGTATTAGTAAACACAGATACAGACGGCTCAACCTCTCGTGATAAACGGGGTTCACGTGGAGAAGTAACGAGCGTTAAGGGTCACCACCTCCCTTGCCTACACGCTATCATAGTGGACCTGGCGCCGTCTACTAGTACTACTAAATTTGTCCATGCATACTTATTAACAGAAAATATAATAGTACGGATCAACGGCAGTGCGGACGGGGTCTTCGCATCTTGATCGATCCGTGGGAGGGAGGGAGCACCCCGACCGGTACATCTCCGACGCAAATCTACCAAGGTCACGTCCATCTGAAAGGGCATGACTTGTGTCCCGGCCATCACAAAAAAAAAAAAAAAATCACCTGTTCTCTTGGGGTACGTTCCCCGCGCCAGAGCTGCTCCGACAGACCACAGCGAGGACAGATTTCGACAAAGAGCAAAGGGCGGCCAAAACGTGAGTTTGGACCAAACGACCGAGAAAAGAAATCGCAATTCTCCCAAATTTGTTGTTAAAAACGTCTTTCCCATTCTTGTATCGGTAGTGGTTTCGAAAACCACTGAAATACCGGTGTTTGCACTGTATTTTCATACGAAGCACGCCGAATAATCGACGTCAAGAGCAAAACCACGTCGTCATTAAACCAAGACGGGACATCTCACTCCATGAGAAAGAAAACACGTCCATCACGAGTTGACATTGGTGTCTTCACATGAAAACCCGTTCCAGGTCTCTGCTCACCCTTCTTACATCCGTAACGGTCCATCCTACGCGGACGCCATCCGTGGTCTCGTCCGCACTCGCCCGGACCAAGGACAAGCGAAGATACCCAAGCGGCGGCGTGTGAAATTTACAAACCACCGAGTCTTGAGGGAAACAAAAGCCGACGTTCTACTGTACAAGTACCCCTTCCTTCCGTAGATCTCGGTGGACTTTTCGTAGATTCCGTACATCTCTGCACGTACCTTGGAGGCCTTGTGGCGGATCTGGAAGAAGATGACGATGAAGGTGTCTGCGTAAATGGGGATGGTCAGCAAGAAGATCCCAAGTGTCTGTTGTGTGCAGCAGCAGCAGCAGCAGCAGAAAAGGGCCGGAAAAAACACGTGGGAACGACAGCGTTGTTGTTGTTCTTGTTGGTTTTACAGCTGTTATTGTCGTTCGTGTTGTTACTGGTGTTGATATTGCTGCTCCTGTTGTTGTCGTCCGTCGTTGTCGATGGTTTGTGTACATGCGGGCTGGGAAAAAAAAGAATTCAGGAGCGAGCACAGTATCGAAAATAATCAAGTCGACACAGCTCCACACAGCCCGTGCACCAAGCCCACGATTTCACACTTTTTTTTTTCTCTCTTTTTTTTCCGGGCTGCTATTGTATCGCGCTGGTGGCTCGACTTAACTGGGGCACGGGACGTTGGTTTGAGAAGCATCAATACCCGCATTGCCAACAACATCAACGAGACAAGACGACATGATTTTCGCCCAAATACGCGGCCGCCGAAAGGCACCTGTATGAGCATGCAGCCAGCGTAGATGCCGTCAAGCTTCCTCTTGTCCGCATCCATGTCCGGATCGAGGACGGATGCCCACACCATCATCCCTAGGGTTAACGCATCGGCAGTCACCTGTCACGCCACCACCCGGGGAACAAATTGCCACAAACGAGCACAACGCAACAAAGGGGCTCCGGTTTAAGCGAGATTACTCAAGAGGAACCGGATTCATAGAGCGTAAAAGTGGCAAGTCCCGGCCGCGACAATAGATGGTACATTTACATTGCGTGGTAAAAGAAAGGAGCAGAGGTCGGGACCGTTTCTTCATGTGAAAAAATATGGAGACCCCCTTCCTAGTTGGTACTTCGTAGAAGACAATCTCCCCGACGTCTGTCGAACATGACCCCCAACTTTCTCACATTGGCGGCGACGAAGACATGCATGATTTCGGTGGAAGAGCACGAGGTTTCAGATCCCGCAAAACGCCATAACAACAATGATAAAAAGAACGCTCCTATATTGTGATACTTGTACAACAAACGCAACCGTTCTCGCGTGCGTGTGTGACGCCGCCCAGTCTCACCAGCACCGTCTCCACCCACTGCACCACGGAGTTGGAGAAGGGGCGCAGCTTACACAGGAGCGCGATGTCGACCAGGTAGATGACGGCCAGCGAAGCCGTCTGTACAGTCCCGTTCGTCACGAGCCCTGCGAGACGCGCATCAACCAAATACCACCAGTACTGTAGCAGATTTTATACATCTAGACATTCACGTGCATCATCTGGAAAGCGCTATCATAGTTCGTGTATACACAGAGGGACGACAGTGCTGCACTCTTCTCGCATTGAAAATCGAAGGCAAAGCACCGCAGGAGGGGTGTGTAGGGGGCCTCAGGGAGGGAAACATTCCTGTGCGACCACGGGTTGGAAAAAAAAGAGAGCAATCTTTCCGAAAACAGGTCTTTCGACTTTGGTATCCTCGTCATTGTGGAGTAGTCCAGCTTTGAAACTCGGTTGAAGGGGGGTGTGATATCTTGTGTCACTTGCGGCATCACCTTCACCAAGAAAAAAAGCACACATCACCCACAAGAACACGAAGGAGCACCAACAACAGCAGCAGCAGAGTGTACCATACAGTCGAACATCGGTCAAGGACATACATAACTGATTTCTTCTAAAACAGGTGTCCTTAAGCCGACCTGATTTTTTCTAAAACAAGGGTCTTTAAGCCGGGGAAGTGTCCTTAAGGTTGATACATACCCCGTCTTATGTCGTTCATTCTGCGAGCCATCATGCTTGAAAAAAAAAAAAACAGTTGTCCCTAACCGAACGAGTTGCCTTAACTTGGGTGTCCTTAATTAAGCATGGATGGAATGACGTAATTGGCAATAATGTAACCGCTCATCATTCGACGGACCTGCGATGATCCCGAGGGCGAACCACTTGAAGAGCAGGAAGATAATATACACCGCACCCTCCTTGGTGAAGTCCACGAACAGCGGCTCGAACCCGATGCGGAACTTCCTGCTCTCCAGGTCCACCTTCTCATCCTTGAGACTCACCCAGGCACCCTTGTCCGCCCACTCGAAGATCGAATGCCCGTTCCTCCAACCGTCACGGAACCCCCTGTTGTTGGTTGGAGTTGCCGTTAGCGATGCCGTTTGCGTAGTTACTACGGCAGTGAATAGTTGGTGTTGTTTGGAGTCGCCGTTAGCGTTGCTGTCGGGTTTGTACTGCACTACAATGCATACACATAGCTCCTTGGTTGGAGTTGCCGCTAGCGATGTTGCGTAGTCGCTACAGCAGCGAAAAATTGGTGTTGTTTCGAGCTATTTAGTGCCGTCAGCGTCGCTGCCGCTGTGGTAGTTGCTATTGCCTTTCCCGGGTGTTGGTTGTTCATACTGCTGTCGGTGGTGGCATTATTATGCTAACGGCTATGCTAACGGCTACAGTAGCCGCCTCGCAACACAAGTCCGCTGTTGCTGCAGTTGATATTAGGAGATATCAGGCAGGCTATGCTAAATAGCAGTTACTTTAGCCACCCCAGCAGCAGCGGCAGCAGCAGCAGCATCTCACCTGCAGAGAGAGACACACCAGCACCTCTTGCGCCCCTCCTCCGGCGCGAGGCCCTTGGTGAAGGTCACCGGCCCCTCCTGGGGCTTGACTCGACTCCACACGATCCTCCCGACGTAGAACATGAGGAAGATGGGGAAAATGAACTACGAAATAGAATAGAACCGCGAAGCGGAGGGCGAGAGGGGGGGGGGGGTGTCGTCAAAACGAGGGGGCCGGGACCGCAACAACGCATGGGGGGCTTTCGTCAAACACGTGGCCTTATTCTCTGTCAACATTTTCAACTGCTGATGCGGCATTCTGTTGGTAATCCTTCCTAGATGAGGGGTAACATGTGGCACGGCAGTGAAGGAGGGAGCCGTGTGCTCGTGCTCACCTTACGGCGTACCATCCGACGCACGAGGCCATGTCTCACCGACGGCAAAACTCACACACGATCCACCCACGCCGCAGGAATCGGGGGCGGGAGAACATCAGAAATAACACGGCAGGCAGCCAACCGGGGCAGCTACTACACCTGTCTCAACACTCCGGAATACCTCCAAGAACCACCACCCACTACCACCAAGCACACATCGCTCTTTGATGCCTGCTGACTGCCCCCCCTCCCCTCCCGCTCTCACCAGCGCACACGCCCCCAGCACCACCAGAGGCAAGCAGCCGCTGTTGATCATGCGAGCCTCGGAGGTTGACGCTCCCTGGTAGGCGAAGAGCAGGAAAACCAGCTCCACGTGGGGGAAGTATATCCACACCGAGTTGTGCCTGGTAATTAAGGACAAAAAGGGGGGGGGGTGACGATGAGAACACCATTTGCGATTGGGCGGAAGGGAGGCATCGACATGCACCACTTGTGGTTGTCGAAACGGAGGCGGACACAGGAAGGGGGGGGGGGGGGGGGGGGGACAAAAAACCCCCCAGCCCGCGGGGGGGGGGGAGGG